TCTCATATCGGCAAATATCAACATCCATTGATAATATGACTTCTACATAAGCTTTTTTGTTACTCAATGAAATTTTTCTAAAGTAAAATTTTCAGATTTGAGAGATTGCAGTAATTAGCATGTATTGAGAATATTTTTCTTCAATATGATAATTTATCTTATACGTTTAATACTCTGTCTGTTATCGTTATTAGTTGCTGTAGGCATTGAATTGTGAAAGTCAAAAACAACGTTTATTTTGAATTCATTATAACTCTATTGATATTCTGCGATAGTATCATATTTATCACTGGATTCAACAATGCATTGTAAACGTACTCTATCTTCATATTTTCACTCACCTCACACACATACAGAAACGAAAAAAATCGCAATAAAATGGTTTCGGCATGTGTTCAGTCGTTAACGATGATTTTTTTCTTTGTCAATACATTTTTTTCCTTTCGCCGAAAAATGTCTTCAACATAGAACTTCTCGAGTGGTTTAATTTCTTAATAAGATTGTGCACTAATAAAAGTCACTATTGCTCGTCATGTCTCGCATAGAGAACATGTTGGTAATCTTTATATGTAATTAGAAAATGTTAGTTGATATTGCGACTCTTGAATATGATGAAAAACAATTCGAATATACCTTTTTGACATAGATCAAAAGGAATTTTTTTTTAATTTGATGCACCGTCAAGATTGAATTAGTCTTGATAAAAAAGATCTGTATGAAACATGAACATGCTTTTACTTCTATTGATATTTTAATACATAGATTCGCTTTTTGAGAAAAAGTGCGCCAAAGTTTGAAGAACCTCTAAACGGAACTTTCTACATGAATTTGTTTTTGTTCTCTTCACATTGTAAATTTAAAACTGAACTGATAAAGAAAATGATAAGAAAAATCATTGGTAACGTATTGCCTTCGTTCGTTTCAACAAGAATAATTCACATTCATAATTTAAAAATAGTAATTGAATGAACTCTTAGATTTTTTCGTTCTTACCAAAAAGAGAAAAATAAACAATGAGGTAGACGAGACATCAAATATAATGAGAACAATCTTATACACATTGTTTATGTAAAAAATTTTAAATACGTTTTCGTATACTTTTTTTCTTATCTTTCTGGTTTATATTATTTTCATAAAGATAAAAGTTTTTATTTTTTTAAATAAATGAAGTGAATACTTTATTTTTTTGTAATTTCCTTTGTTTTGCATCAAACTTCCTTATGTTGAATATGCCAACACAATTAAGTCTGCTATCTCAGGTGTATTACTAAAAAATATAATCCTATACATTTTCTGTATTATTCTAGCACTTCTATAAAAAATTGTGTTGTCAAAATCCTATCCTGTCTATACCTCGTACTCAGGTCGCTACGAAGCCCGGGTATTGCGCGGAAACTTTGTGTAATTTACTGAATTTGTTTTCAACTGCAGTTGTCATATTTTAATACTGATATTACATAGTTATGTTTGTCACAAACAACCAAGATTATAACTTGGTAAATGATATAAATGAAGAAATTTTTACACAAAAAGATGCAATAAAATAAATCTTAAAAAGTTACAAAAAAGATTGAAGCCATTCATTGAAAACAAAGTTTCTTATTTGTCGATAAAGAAATTCTGTTGTGAATTGTATTTTTTTAGTTCTGTAGAAATTTAGCAGCAAATTGATTATTAAGCTAAATGCAAGGTTTTGTTTAATTAAATCGCATCATTTATTATTTGAATTTGCTCATATCGATTTACTATTTTCTTTAATTTATATACATGATCAACGAAATAATTAGAAACAAATAAGACACAGCACTTTCTATTTATTCTTCACTTGAAAATATTTTCCCATCATTATTTCTGAGTGAAATAAATGTTTTTCTGTGATGGTCACATAATAATGATCTTATCTAGTTCATCATACATTTGACATTCGAATTTTAAATTTTAATGCTTTTTTTGATCAGAAACTTGTATTTCAGTATTAATCCAACAGGTCGTTAAGAAATAATTCTTTCAAGATAGTTAACTTGTCTGAAAATGAAATGAAGAACTGTGCAATTTTTCAACGCAGTCTATTCACAACTATACAATAAATACATCAAACCATGATGAAAATATCAGTTCTCGTATTTAATATTGTATCTTAAATCGACAGTCTAGAATCCATTGTTTTCATAGTTTGACTCAACTTCATTTTTTCGAATGAATAATTTCTCAAACTCTTATTAACGAATAATATAAATTTATATTTATACTAATATATCAATATGAACTATATGCATAAATCTGCTTCGTATTTTCAAATGAAATGATAATTTTCATAGACTAGCGCACTCGACATATCCGACCTCGTCTTATTCAACATATAATTCATGAATATTTGTCTTGTCTATTGAAAGAGTCCTTGTTGTGAAAGCCAGATATAAAAGTTTACACGGCAAGCATTCCTCATATACGTATGAAATCAAACAATCACGGTTTCTTTTACTCGTCAAAAAACGAAACTTCGAGATGCAAAGGCGATTCGTTTGTTTACTCATACATCAACGTATATTTTTCTATTGATCATAACAATTTAAAATTGAAAGTAAGAGAGAACAATAGAAAGAGGACTGGAAGAGAAAAAATCACACGGCGATGAGCGCATATATGAAAAAAATACTGCTTGCTTCTTGACAATGATATAATTCATTGATTGAAGTAAACAAAACTAAGTGATAAAAAAACAAGCAATTTCGTCAACGATAAATCCGGTGTGCAAGCCATTGCAAATACAATAGAAATAGACTGTACTACCTGATACAATTTACTACGTATGTATATTTTATTTTCAACATTCTTAGACTAATCAAGTTGAAGACAGCGAAATTTAAGAAATATTCAATGTAAAAATGCTAAATGCCGTGTTGTTCAACTTAAATTGTTTATAGACCATACAGAAAAATCATAGTGAACGATTTTTGACCTGAAAATATTGGTTTTCAATAAAGGATTAANTGTTCAACTTAAATTGTTTATAGACCATATAGAAAAATGATAGTGAACGATTTTTGACTTGAAAATATTGGTTTTCAATAAAGGATTAAGCGTTCATAAACATATTAAGCCGTTGAACTTTCTTCTAAACATATTTAGTCTTCAGCTAGTATTATCACTAAGGTATTAGTGCTAGAAAAACTAGTTCTAAGTAGGTAGTAGAGAATTTTATTGAACTATCAACTCGAAAGTGAGTCTTTCTCTGAAGTCATTATCAATTGAGTGAGATTAAGGCCTGCAGAATATCAAACAAGCACATTTCAGATTTTAGGAAACTCACAACAGTTCTATTCTATGAGTATTTAATTTTTCAAAAAATTACAGAATTCTGAACTCTTCTGGATAGGCAAATCTGCAAATGCTGCATTGGTGATAGCTTAGTCGTATAAAAGAATACTTCTTAGTTATTCATTGCATTAATTCATTCTTCCTTACATTAGCAAAAGGCTCTCNTGATGTCTTCATTATAAGATAGGATATCGCTTATTTTCTTAGTTACCAGTAAGATCCCACAAGAAACTAATTATGTACATTTGCTAAGAATACTTGAAATATGACACTGATACCAATATTATCAATCAAGAGAACGACTTAAGTTTTCCAATCGATAAGTGTTTTATCATCAAGAAAATATGTGGACACTTGCGAGTTTTGCGATGGGATGAGATTGATAATAAATTTGATTTGAAACTCAAATACAGTGATGACGTCTACGAAAGACCATGTAGATTTCCTTTACAAATATCATCAAATACAGCCTATACACACGCAATTAACAAAGGCAACACAATCATGTGACCATGACACAATACCGATGAGCTTCATACCAAAACGAGAAATGTCAGAAGCAGTATCCAACGAACAAAATCTTGATCAATTACCACCATCTTACATGTACTCGATGATTTTTAAGGATATAGTATTAGAAATCGACGACGACTACGCCAAATCTATTAATGCTTTAGTTATTTATTGTCGTCAACAAAAGATTCCTGAAATACAGATAAACTCATTACAGAGTACTTACCACCAGAAATCACCAGTTTGGTGGTATTCGAAATCAATGTTTCTCCATAGTATGCTCAATCGTGCCTTGCGATTGCTCGATATGGAAAAGATGATAAAGTTAGGATTTTTTATTCGAAGTCTTCATCTTCAACTAAAGCAATTGCACCAAGAACAGTCGTCAAATTTCCAACAAGCGTTTACCGTTTATCGTGGCCAGGAACTCAGTCAACAGGATTTTCAGAATCTCTGTAATTCAAAAGGTGGCCTACTATCGTTCAACAACTTCTTATCAACTAGTAAAAAAAAAGAAGTGGCAATGAACTTTGTTAATGATTCACCACACGAAAAACCAATCAAAACGAGGCCAAAATATTAAAGCACAGTTCAATTAGATGAGAATAACAAAATTTGACACGCAAACTAAGTAGTAGCTTTATTTTTTTGCTTTCTCAAATAAGGAAATTATTATTTTTCATAAACATGAAATGAATTAATTAACGGAACCAACCATGGTCCAAAATTTAATACCACAAGAACATCATTGATATGAAGTAAAAAATGATCAGATAGGCCTCATACGAGTAAACAAATAAAATAGAAAACTAGGGTGTATACTTTTTCTTGGGAGTGAGTGCAGTAAAATATATATGCAATATGTTGGAATTTTAGCAAGATATCTATAAACCGATGTCGAAGCTAAAAAGAACTATTCTTTTTAACGTTTAGATGATGTTTAGTACTTCTTCGTAATTTTAGTGTAAAAGTACACATTTTCCCACAAACATTGATTACACAAGCAACGTGAGGCTAATTCGTGAATCCTCTACATAAAAATCATGATCACGTAAAATAGGCGCATTCGATATGCCATAATCTTCAAAGCATTGTAATCATTTCAGGAGAAGATTTGCGAGCAAAAAATAGAAAACTTGCTCGCGTTTATCGCTCGAAACATTAGAGTTTAGGGGCTAGATATAGATACCATATGACAAACGCGTGTAACATTGAGAAAATCATTTTCCTAGCTAGATAATAGAAATTAAAAAATACATCCAACGATATTAATTATCTGAATATCCTATTTGATTAGAACGAACACTCTGAGTCTAATCATTAGACTACATATTTAGTTACCAACTATATTATTAATTATACGCCTACCATTGTATCTACGCAAAGATACTCAAACATAAGTTTATGTTGCATTGTGCCTGTTGATATATTATTGCCTGGTGTTTCTTTGAGAAAATTTTTGGTTCTACGCCCAATAACTGGCATCAATCGAGACTTTCTAATCAATGTACTATGTAGTTATTCCAAAGGTCTTCACCTTTTGAGGTCTTTATTTTTAATGAAAGTTTCAGAGAAGCAGCTAATTCCTACCAAATTCAATAGGATTTTGACGATTATACAATGGGTATACTATTCATTCGTCTTTATTAATTCATACTATCAAGCAATTTCATGAGTTCAAGTTCCTGCCGGGAAAATAAGATCAGATGAAATCCTTGCCATGAAGAATCTACTTTAATAAGTTAGACGAGATTACTGAGGATTTTTCTATTCAATTGAAATAAAGACTGTTCTTTGTTTGGAGATTAACTAATAATATTCGTTTAGTTATGTTAAGTATTAGTAAAATATCATATTATAATCTGAAAATGATTTCAAGATATTTCTGTCTCTCTTTCCAGTTTGTTCTACTTTTAAAATAAGTTCATGTTTTTTTTCCTGATTTACAATATGTGCCTGTCCATTGATTTATTTTTCTACGTTCTCAACATGTATCAAAGATATTTTCTGCAATTTTATCATTGTAGTCAATACGAAAAGACAACGAAATGCGCTAATATCTACGATCAGTATGAAAAGCATAACCTTATCTTTAGAATAATATGAGTTCATCAGCACAACAGATTACTTCTTCTTTCCAGTCGGAAAAAACCCTAGTAAATAATTTTCAAAAAGCAAAGAATTCAATCTTATTTCGAAAAAACTATTTCTAAACCTAGAAGCTAATCACCAATTCGAATTTCTCCATTCTAACGAACTTCGATCATAGCTTTTTCAAGGTTCCCTTTTTTAATCTCAAAAAAGATTTCACTTGTTAAATTAAAAAACCTTAGCATAGATTTGAAATAATCGACCCCGATTCCGTTTGACCGAGGCTACCTACGTTCAAACTATATCGGCCACTTCCACAGCTGAGAATACGTCACTCGAGACTTATGCTTCCCGACAAACTCGTTTTAATTCATATGACTTTGACTACAGTCGCGAGGAAAAGCTAAATCCTGTATTATTCTTTTTATTTTTTATCTAGATGATATTATTGTTGAACGTGTTTGAAGAGACCATTCGCCTATGTTGTTTCCATTTGCAAGTATTTATTATACTAACCAATAAAAACGAGGCCAAAATATTAAAGCACAGTTCAATTAGATGAGAATAGCAAAATTTGACACTCAAACTAACTAGTAGCTTTATTTTTTTTACTTTCTCAAATAAGGAAATTATTATTTTCCATAAACATGAAATGAATTAGGTAACGGAACAAACCATGGTCCAAAATGTAATACCACAAGAACATTATTGATCTGAAGTAAAAAAATGATCAGATAAGTCTCATACAAGTAAACAAATAAAATAGAAACTAGGGTGTATACTTTTTCTTGGGAGTGAGTGCAGTAAAGTATATATGCAATATGTTGGAAATTTAGCAAGATATCCATAAACCGATGTCGAAGCTAAAAAGAACTATTCTTTTTAACTTTTAGATGATGTTTAGTACTTCTTCGTAATTTTAATGTAAAAGTACACATTTCCCGACAAACATTGATTACACAAGCAACGTGACACTAATTCGCGAACCCTCTACATAAAAGCCATGATCACGTAAAATAGGCGCATTCGATATGCCATAATCTTCAAAACATTGTAATCATTTCAGGAGAAGATTTGGGAGCAAAAAATAGAAAATTTGCTCGCATTTATCGTCCGAAACATTAATGTCTAGGGGCTAGATATAGATACCATATGGAAAACGCGTGAAACACTGAGAAAATCATTTTCTTAGCTGAATAATAGAAATTAAAAAATACATCCAACGATATTAATTATCTGAATATCCTATTTGATTAGAACGAACACTCTGAGTCTAATCATTAGACTACATATTTAGTTACCAACTATATTATTAATTATACGCCTACCATTGTATCTACGCAAAGATACTCAAACATAA